CGGGGGTGCAGCCCTGCTCCCCCCTCACTCCGTCTCCATCCCCTTTGAACATTTCCTGTACAAGCCGATTGAGTGCCTGGCTGAAGGCAGGCACAGAGCACACACCTGGGCTCAGCACCGGCCCAGGACCCAGCATGGTCCCCAAAAGCTCCCTCCAGGCTGGGGAGCCGCTGTCCCCCTGCTCCTGGAACACACAGCCCGAGTCACAGCAGGCTGCAAAGCCCCAAAGCGAAAGCAGAGCAGCAGCGTGTCTGGGTGGCTTCAGCCCAGCAGCAAAGCAGCACAGGATGGGGCAGGGCCCCTCTGCCATGGCTGAGTTGCCCTCAGCAGGTGCAAAGGCTGCAGAGGAAGGGGCTGGGGTGCCCACAGGGGTGGTCTGCCAGCGCAGCACCCTGAGGATAGAGCAGTCTCCGGGGATCTTTCCTTCCAGGGATCAGGGCGGCCCCTGACCCTGCAGATGGCAGACAGAGCACCCCAGGGCTGTGCCCAGCACCAGGATGGGCTGCTCCCCTCCCCCCTTCCCCTCCCCCTCCAGGAGACAGTCACATCCCGTGCCTTGGGGTGGAATTGATTGCCTTATCTCTCCCTGCACTCGCTGTAACAGCTGAGCAAAGCCAGGCCAATACCAGCCAAAGCTGGCAGGAGCCAGTGCCCCCCAGGACCACACCAGAGGGCTCCAAGGCACAGCAGCAGCAGGGAGGGGATGGTGGGCAGCAGGTACCAGGGCTGCACCCTCCCTCTCCCCGCTGGAGCCCTTGGGCAGCACGGACAGTGGCACAAATTGGGTTCACACCACCTTTCCAAAGGATCCAAATCCACCCCAGATCAGCTGATGTGGAAGGGCTACAGCTCCACTTCCTCAGTGACTGACCTCAGCTGGTACCAGACACTCTGGGCTCACAGAAAGCACCCCAGCAGGCAGAGAGCCCCAGCCATGTGGCGCTAGAGGTGCCAGCACCCTGGCAGGGCTGGAGCCCAGCTGATGCCACCATCAGGCCTTTGCCAGCTCAGCCACTTGGCCGGGCACCCAGAGGGTGTGTGATGATGAGGGGAGGGACTCTGAGGAGGAGCTGGAGTCCCTCTTCAGACACCAGCCAGACACGGGCTCTGGTGTGGGCCAAGAGCATCGCAGCAGGGGCGGCCGCGAGAGCAGCAGAGCACTGGAGGTTGCAGAGTTTAAATAAACTTGAAATACGACTCAACTTCCTTCCCCAATTTCACAAGCTCCGTTTCCTGCGTCTCCTCAGCAGGCCAGGCATGCTCAGTGCCATGGCAGCTCTGGCACAGGGGATGCTGCTCTCTCTCAAAGTAGCCAGTTTGGAGGTGCCCTCAGGGAGCAGCTCTGCAGCCAGCCAGGCCACTCAGGCCTCCAGCCAAGCAGTTTAATGGCTTGGGGGTCAATACATGCCATCAGCCCTTCCTGACACTGCAGAACTACCGGGCTGAGCTCTGCTTCCTGCAGGCAGCACAGTCCCACGGCCTGGCTCCCTGTGGCTGCAGGAGCTGGCAGCACCTGCCTGCGGTCCTGGAGGGGGCTGTGCTGAGGGGCACCAGCCTCACATTCCTGTGCCAAGCCCCAAACCAAGGCCGCGCTCCTGGACAGAGGGCAGGAGTGGGGAGCTGCTCTGGCTGCACTGCAGCCACCCTTTTGAAGGTCACCTACAAGGAGGAAGCAGCGGCTGCTGCTGAGGAGGACGGGCCCCCGGCCCTGCTCTGCACCACCATGGCAGGAGGCAGCTCCCTGCAGACACCGCTACCCCGGCACGGCCTGCTGAAGCACAGCCCGGCCCTGCCGGCTCCTCCCTGCCCCAGGAGACACAGTGACACCGGGAACCTGCCCCAGGAGACACAGTGACACCAGGAACCTGCCCCAGGAGACACAAGTCATACTCAGAACCTGCCCCAGGAGACACAGTGACACATGCAAGTCACACTCCAGGCTAAGGGGCAAGCAAAGCAGACCCTGCTGGCAGGGAGGGCCAGGGCCAGGGCAGGACCCAGCCCTGCCCTTGCAGACACTGCAGGTCTGAGCTGCAGGTACAAGGTACAGGAACAAATCAGCCCTGGGCCAGGAGGAGCTGCTGGGCCTGCATTTCCTTCTGCTGACAGCAGCACTGCCGCAGGTACCGGCCATTTCCCTGCCAGCACGTGGGAAGCCTAAATCATGTCCCCAGAGCTCAGCTCCCAGGGTCTTGGGAGCCCAGTGCAAATGGGGCAGATGAGGGCCTTGAGAAGATGAGAGCCTGTGAAGCTGACAGTGAAACACCACATCATCTCCCCTGCCTTCTCCTGCCAGACCAAGACAATCAGCAGGAACCAGGATGCACAGATCCAGCATCTCTGTTCAACTGTCCCTACTCCTCCCACCCCAAGGGCTCTGTGGGAGCACAGAAATGGGTCCTGATGGCTGTGGCACCTCTTGACATCAGCTGGATCATCCCCAGCAACACCACCATCACTTTCCAGCATCCTTGGCCCTTCCCCAGGTCCCACCTCCCTCTCACCAGCAGCACAGACACAGAGACCCCAAAGAAAGACACAGAGACCCCAAAGAAACTGCACAACTGGCCCATTCATGTTATTATCAAGGGACAAAAGGGGAGCTTTGATCTGTGTCCTGCTGCATCCCAGAAACATTCAATCTCCTCTGTGCTCTGATGGCTGAGAGAGGTGGGATCTGGGGCAGGTTTACTTCAAGGATTCTTAGAGAATCCTGCAGCCTGGCTGCTTCACCGGCAGGGTGTCACCAGCACTGACAAAGGAAAACCTCGCTCTGCTCCAAGCCCGGGACAGGAGGGGACCCAGCCCCAGCTCCCCGGGGCTGCTGTGGCAGAAAAGGTGGGTGGTCTGCAGGGAGAGCAGCTCAGCCCTTGCACACTCAGCTCAGCATCAGAGCCACCTTCCTGCACGGCGTCACAACCTGATGGCTTTGTTTGCAGCCTCCTCGCTGCCAGCCCTGCTCCTTTGTCCTCGCGACTCACCTCCAGCACCACATCCCGCCGGGTGCCCAGCTCTCTCCTGCTCTGAGCAGGATGTTGGCTCACTCCCTCAAGGAAGGGGTGCAAGAGGGCTGGAGCCCTCCCCCCTGCCTGGACCCTCACCATGAGCTCTCCAGCCCCACTGCAATGCTGCACACCCCAGCCACCTCCCCGCTGCGGTACCCTAGCTAAGCACCAGCCAGCCCAGGACCCCAGTGCTGGAAGAGACCTGAGGGATTAGGAGAGCCCCGCAGAAACGACTCCACAGCCGCCATGCCGCGGGGCACCCACCCCATCTCCAGGATGGTGGTAAAAGGCATCATCTCGAAACAAATGCAGGATGGAGATGGGAAGAGTCCGGCCAGGAGGAAATCCCCACCCCCACGGTCGGCATTAACTCGGTTCCCGGGTCAGTGTCCTGGCACAGACACTCTGTGTTGGCACAGCCCCCCTGCCCCTGGGCAGCCACCCCAGCAGCAACCGCAGCAGAGGCTGCCGTCACTCCTGCAGCTCCCCCATCCTTCACAGCCAAAGCCCGGCCTCGACCCTCGGCCTCTCCGGAGGAGAACGACAAAAAAAATCCCCTGGGGCTGGTGCCAGGGCGAGCAGGATGGAGGGGCCGGGGGAGCTGGGAGGTGTCGCGGTGCACACACACGCGTGCACACGCACACAGCCCTGCTCATCCGCGTGCACACGCACACACAGCCCCACACCCACCCCTCTCCCTCCATCACTGCCGCTGCACCAGCAGCATCTTTTGTGCTCCCGCTCCGACCAGGCAGGGCGCGGGCAGTGCCCCCCGAGCCCGGCACGGTCCCCGCAGCCGCCAGCCCGCACTGCCCGTGCCGGCGGGGCACAGAGCGGGGGGAGGCACGGCGTGTCCGCTGCGGGACGGGCTGCGGGGCCGGATCCGCTCCGCCACCACCACGGGCCCGGCAGATGCGATTGCCCGGCACAGGCACGGGGCGAGCGGGGCCGGCCGGTGCCTTCCCCCGCGGGACGGCGGCTCCGGCCGCGGCAGGGTCCCGGGCCGGGCAGGGTCCCGCGGTGCCGCTCCGTGGGATCGCGATCCCGTCTTTCGGCGGAGACTCCTTCCTCCCGAGGGGCAGGGAGCGGCAGAGCCCCGCCGCCGCACACCGGGCCGGGCATGGCGCTCACAAAGACCAGGGTGACACTGGGGGGTGTCACCCGTTCCCGCGGGGCTCGGCCTCGCCCGGCCCACGCCCCCCGAGCTCCCGCAGCTCCCCGAGCCCCGGCGGGCTCCGAGACCGCCAGCAGCTCCTCAGTGAGGTGCGGGTCTGCAGGCGCATTGTTCCCAGCACAAAGGACACCGAGATACCGCATCGCTTCCCACCACCCAGCGGGGGGGCGGGCACGGAGCCCCCACAATGCCCGGCATCCCGGTGACACTTCGGACGGCCAAAGCCACCCGCGCAGCAGCCGGGAGCTGCCCAGGCTGGGCGCCCGCCTGCAGGTGGAGGAGCCGGGGGTCCCAGCCTCGCCCTCCGCCGGCCACGGGGGATGGCGGGCGGTGGGGGCGGGTGGA